TTATTATACAGTGTTCGTTGCTCAGCTGTCGTTCTTTTGTATTTATAATAACGGCGGAACGAAAACGCCGCCCCGCCGCATGCGCATCGCCCCGGACCTTTCCGGGTAAGCTGGCGGATGGTAAGGTGCGCCAGCGCAACATCGTCGACGTTTTCCTAATCACAATAATAAGAAAATGTCTACCGCCAGTCTAACATTTATTGCCCTAGGTCAATAATTTTAGATTTGAGCATTACAAGAGAAAACAAAAATACATTCGGAACGCGACACTTCAATGACAGACAGGCAAAACATTACTGTTTATAGGTATTTTCTTACACTATTACCCAGTCAAGTAGTTTACATGTTCTAAATACTAGTCTGAGAGAACAACACATATTTTAACGGGGAACGAGTTAAAATATTAGTGATGCGCGAATATCAGTTGGAATCTATCAGAGCAATGTCATCCCTAGCTTTAACACTGTTAAGAAACCCGGCTGTCGTGGCTTTCCCTTCTACTCCGAAAACTATGCATGTGATGCTTCTATGCGTGGGAATAAAAACATATTTAGCTTCTCTGAACGTAGGGTGGAAGCATGCTATGGGTAGAGTAGAAGCATTCGGGGTAGAATTATGTTATTGAATGTTATTTAGTTCCATGCCCTTCTACACTGAACGCTATCCAGTTCCGGCTCTAACGATATCAACGGCCACGTAGAAATGGTCTAAACTGCGCAACACTATAAAAAAAAACACACAAAAAAAACAATAAAGGTCACAAAGCATCCGCTATCCGGAACTTGTTTTCCGTGTTTTGCTACCCTGTTTCTTTGTTAGCCTATGTCACTTGTTTTGAATCTCCCTTGACGTAATGCGTCCTTCGGAAGCCCTTGAAGTGAATAAAATCAATTGAAATAAAATGAATGACCGCCGCAGCTTTCATTTTTTTTTCAGCTTTCATTGTTCTCAGCATTGCAGCAGTAGCTTGCAGGAACATTTCAATCCTCAGTTCTCCAGCGAACATAATAATAATTAAAATAAAATGAAAGGCTTTTACAAATCGCTGTAATGCCAAATTTGAGCTCAGCGCTTTAAAGAAAAGGAGAGGAGGGTATGCAGGGGAGGATATGCCCCTCCTCCTCCTACGTACCCTCTCCTCCTCCCCTCCTCGTCTTCTGCTCCTCCCCTTCCTCCATCCACTCCTCTCTCCTCCCTCAATTCAGTTTCCCCGCTAAATGTAGCGGGGAAAATGACGTCACATGACTTTGTGTCACGTCACCTATGAACAAACTTGGTTTCTCCGCAAGATTTAGCGGGAAAATTGACGTCAAGTGACCTCAACACCAATTCTATTCTCCACTGAATTTAGCTGGAAACTGAATTGGTGTTGAGATCACATAGCAAGGAATTGAATTGGTGTCGGGTTCACGTGACGTGATTTTTTCCGCTAAATCTAGCGCGGTTACGCCGACGCCGCTCAACCCGGAAACGGGCATTTAAGATGTGCGCTCTAAAAACAGCCATCTGTTGTGAAGACGGTACACGTAAGGGTGTACACCTGAAACCTCCAGGCCCTACTTCGATCTAATCCCACGTTCAAGTAGACAGTTTATATAAAAAAATCATTAAAATAATGACTGGCGAAGAACGCGGGACATAAGAACAACGATGATATGATAGTTCGTACTAATAGCCCTTCGATATATGGAGATCTAGATCTGGTCAATGAACCCTTTGCAAAGTTCTGTGCCATCTGGAGGCTCAAAAAGCAGTTTCACTGTCGGCAATCTAGTGACGGTCATGAAACTGTGTTTGATCGAGAACCGCCACCTTCACACGTAAATGGCAAAGGAGAATTTGTTCTTCTATCACCTCATATAATTCTTTATTTGTTTTCCTTTTGACAGTGGGAACGTAAAAACTGGCCAGTCTAAAGCAGCGACTTGTAAGCCCCTCGATAATATTCTTTAAATCTAAAGAGGTTAGAGCCAAACTGGCGCTAAGAAATTGATTGGAGAATACTCCTATATAAACACTTACGTTGCCGTTGTGTATAATTCGTGCATCGAATTGTACATACGTCTCGAACCTATTTGTATTAGGCAGCCTGCGCTTGATCATATCTTCAACTTCTTCACGTTACCAGCATCATGAAAGCACCCATCAGTTTGGCACAGATGTCATAAAAGAGATGATGATATTGATCAAAATCGTCAGACTGAATCTTGAACGGGTCTATTCCCAGAAGTCACCGGATTGGCTTAATCTAGTAGCTCATCACGGCAATCAAAGTTACTTTCTCAGCGTGATACTTCATACCTCCCTCCCGGCTACCCATGCGATGAGAGCTGTTATGTGTATTTTTTATATTTTTATGACGACAGCCACCTAGAGTCTGTTGAGGTGGTTATGCAGTCACTTGAGGTGGTTCTGCAGAAAGCACTCAATGTAATTCGCGTTCCACGAGGCACGAATTCCATTGACGGAAGGCATCGTCAGCCTAATACGTGCTCGCAAGTACAGTTATGTTCTGGAAGACAATTTGATTTGTCTCTAATTTGGGCAAGCGCAAAAGAAAAGCAGAGAGTAAGTGTCGAAATGTTAAAAACACTACCCATCACCAAGGTAATGAGGTATATACTCTTCTTAAAGAATGAGTGTTTTTATGTGGCTCACTGGCATGGAAAAAATACGATCTTGTATCCGCATCCGCGTAAAGCTAAACTATTGCTTTGCTTGATTTTGACTTAAAACGTGTCGTAATTAGAATTTATAGAAGTCTATCTTGAGCTTTTTTAGCAAAAATGGTACCGGAAGATTTATTGGAAAATATATATTACTAATTACAAAATTAGTAATATAAATTAGTTGAGGTTTACTTATATATTCACTCCTTTATTTATTGTTGATATGACGTTATATTTTGGAGCGCTTGTATGCCTCATTGTTGAATGTTCTTGGCAACACGGTGTTAAAAATATTAAAACATTTTTAACAAGAAATTTCTTCTTTTCTGGCTTATTTTTCATGTCGCGGGGGTTCGTGCTGTTGGAAAAAAGATATTTTCCATCAAACTGAGCTTCTCTACTTTATTGTTTAAGGATACCGTTTAATTCTTTCATCGATGAGATTAAATAATAAAAAGAAACTATTTCGTCGAATGACTATAAAGAAAGGCCGACAAGATTTCGAAATAAAAAAAAAATTAATAATAATAAAAAGTTAGCAGCGATTTTTACCTTTAAAATCCTAAAACGCATGAAATGCATTGTAGGGCTTTGCATTTTCAATTTTTAGCGCTAAATTTAGTAAAGAAACTATCTTGATGTATACTTCACGTGACTTCAGGTTACGCGACACCGATCTCTCCGCGAAATTGAGCACGGAAACTAAATTGGTGTATAGGTCCTGTGACTTCTTGCCGCGGAACATCAATTTTCCAACAAATGTTTCCCCAAAAAACTGGATTGGTACATAGGGTACGTGGCATCAATTTTCCTGCCAAATTTAGAGGGGAAGATTAATTGCTGTGTAGGTTACGTGACATAACTTTTCTCCAGCAAATCTAGCAGGGAAACTGAACTGGTGTTTAGGGTCACGTGATATCAATTTTCCCGCCAAATTTAGCGGAGAAACAGAATCGGTTTACAGGGCTCTTGGCATCAATTTTTCCACCCAATTTAGCGGACAAACTGACTTAGTGTGGAGGTTACATGACATGCATTTTCCCCCGAAAATAGCGGGGAAACTTAATTGGTATATGTAGGTTATGAGACACCAATTTTCCCGCCAATCTATCAGGAGACTCAAATGTTGTATAGTTCATTTGACGACAATTTTTCAGCTAATTTTACCAGGGAAAGTGAATTGGTCATTAGGTCTCGCGATTTCACGTCACGCGACCTTAGATTGCCCTCCGAATTTAGCGAGGAAATTGAATTCGTTTATAGGTGACGTGAAATCAATTTTCCCGATAAATTTAGCTGGAAAGGCACGGACCGAAAGAGACAAACGGACAGAACAATTTTTTTTTGGGAAAGTGGGGGGGATATTGTCAAAAAGCACTTCCTGCTTCAAAAATCTGTTATGTGAATCTCACCGGAACTCCCCCCATCCTGGATTCAACCTCTACCTTAGATTCAAATGACCGACGCACGGGCATGCTGTGGTCTGGTCACAGCTAACTGGTGCACGCTATAGAAAGCAGACTAAGAGCCATACTACATTTGTCAAAATTGCTCCAATGCAGCTTAACTCAATATCGTCATTTCTCATGTGCTCATTGCTTTCCCCTTGTAGCAGCATTCTCCAAGACTAATTTATGTTTCTCTTCTTTTTTTCTTTTTTACAGAAATGTTAGCGGTATTACAGTGATCGCGGAATGAATAAGGTTCTCATTGGCTAGAGGGAATAGCATTAAAAGAGAGAATCACGGACAACACTCGGTCTAGGCATCTTTTCTAGTTGACCTTGCTGTTCGTGCTTTTCGCCGTTTCCACCCGAGAGCCAATGCCCCCTTACGTCTCGCACCGCCAGATAAAAGTAGCTTGCACGAGTCGCACGACTGGACAAAGACCCCTGTAAGGCGATTTTAGCCTTGTTTTAACAACAAGACGCGGCCGCCGTAGAAAGTGCACTAATGATACTTCAACCAAAAATGAGGTCAAGAGTTTAATTTTTTTCTCTACTGGGGGAGGGGGGGCTATTCAATTCATGTCAGGAACCTGGTACGACCTTGTTTTAATAGAGGGATGCGTATGAAGTTTTAAAGCGCACACCTTTGTGCAGTCAAGAATGGTCCCCGATATCAGCGATGGTAGAGACCGAAAATATTGTAGCATTAACAGCAATTTCCTTATTTTTGTGGCCCTACAATCTGAACGCGTTCGGGAATTGGATAATTTTTTTCATCGATCTTTTGGCTACTATATAAAACTGGACTGCTCGCGACGTTCTTCAGAGCAGACAGTTCTCACGTCTATTCTACTTTTTTATAGAGTACTCAGAAATTCGTAAAAATGTCTATCATTTTCCGAATAGGTTTCTGCTTTGTGCGTTGCTGTAGCCTTTCGTGGAAGCTGCCCACCTCCGAAGCTATACGTAAAGACAGTAATACCACTGATCGCAATGAAACTTCCCCTTTCACACAACTCGGGGGTCGGCTAGCACTTGTCACCGGTGGAGCAAGCGAAATTGGCCGTAGCGTCACCAAAGTGCTGGCTCGTGAAGGTGTTACCGTCTTCATCGCCAATAGAAATGTGACAAATGGGGAACAAACCATAAAAATGTTACGATGTTGGTGTGCATTTTGTGACATTCTTGTTTCTCCGAAAAAGACGTTCGTATGAAAAGCTCCCACATTACTTTTGTAGCATGTCACGTCAGCCATTTTGAATTACCTACTGAAATTCACGCTAAAATGTGATGGATATGGAACTCTATTCATGAAAGCGGAATGCTCGTGTCTCTCGGTGGTATTGTAACGCATGCTCACTGTACTTGATAACTTTTTTTATATGAGCGTAACTCTTGGTTTTCTCGGACATTTTTTGACAGCAGCATTCGGGTAGAGTAGAAAAATTGCCATACAAGTAGGTACATAGCAGGGCTGGGTACATATACTCCACAAAGTATTCGGGAATACAAATCCTTAGATACATTTGTCTTTTCTGCAAAGCGATGTCCCAGAGATACTTCTGCAAAACCGGCGAAGTAGTATTGGGGAATACAGATACAGTTACTTATAGAAGTACATTTGTTCTCTAACAGCGCTTGGGGGGAGGGGGGGGGGGAGGGTGTGGTTCGTGGCGAATATGAATGGTAATTAATGCTTGTGCTTGCCTTGCCTCGAACTCTTTATTTATCAATAATGCCGCTCAAAAAAGATGTCAGCCCCGTTGAAGAACATAGTTCCATACTGCGCACCATGCTTGACAAAAGACGTCTGCCTGTAACGAACCCTGTTTCGCCGTGAGGGCGTATCTTAATATGTCGTACTGTAAGCTTCTGAGTCACCCGTAATGTAGGACGATTGGAAAATAGGGCTGCAATTTTTCTTCAATCAACTCCTTTACAGCGATCTCTGCTAAATTGGTAAGAGTGCAGGGCTTTGTGAAAGGAGCTGATTTTGTTATTCTTGTCCTTAAGATTAATTAAACCACATTTTCTTTAATGTCGGCGACTGAAATGAATTATGTTATAGGGGGTTGATATTATAAACAATGCAGCATCTTGCAACAAAGATGTTTTTTATCCTTTAAATTTATCTGAGAAAGGACAACAAATGTAACGAGATAACTAAGTCTGGAAACGTATCGCAGTACATCTTAAATATAGTTCACTACTGAGATACAAATACATTCATCGAATGTATTTCGATACAGAAGTACAGATACACGAAAGTGTGTCTGCGCTACAATTGCGATACATTTGTATCGCGATACTGCCCACCCCTTGTGCATTCATGCTCGTAAGACGCTCTTTAGAGGGAGATTTGGTCAGCGTGTGTTGTTTATGGAGTAGCATTTACTCGAGGCTTTGAGCTGGTTGGTTCGAAACGTTAGCACGAGAAGTGTTATTAGCATTTTTGTTGTTACCAAATATAAAAGTGTTTTTTTAGCAACTCTATGACATGTCGGCTGTCACTTACACAATGCGCTTCATTTTAGTTCAAACTTATTTATCTCAAAATTGTCGTGAAAGGTACTCTAATGTGGTCTATATGTGCGAGCTATATGGCCCGGGGTATATAATATAGATTGTTAAACTTCACAATAAGTGAATCAATTAACTAAAATTTTTTGAATAAGTTCTTAATTATTGAAAATAAACATAATGTTCTAATCGTTTGTCTTTCCTTAGCGTCATCATACAATTAAAAACAAACTAACCACGAACCACGTCTGTAAGCTTCGGGGTGCACTAAAGTTTCTACTCGTATAAAAGGCGCAACGCCCGCGGTTCGTAAACCCGGATGATAATCTTTTTGTGCACATTTTCGGCAGCCAGCGTTGCTCCTGCTGCCCAAGATTAACCTTTAGCACGCTTCAGCGCTTTTGACGTTATTCAGATCCATTAAAAATTGACTGATTTCGTGTTTTATATGACACTCACCAAGTTCATAATTGGTCTCGCTTGTTTAGTAACGCAAATCAAAAGGTTAATTCAAAAGTTTAGTTAAATATTTGACTTACTGTGACTCTATACACATAACAATTAGCGGCACAAAACGCATTATTCTATAATTCACGGCTTTTCTTAAATAAATCTGTTCGAGTTAAAAATCATACACCCTGCATACCTAAGTTGACGAATCCTCACTAAAATCTTCCTAATTTGGAAATTGGTAATTTTTAGTGCCTTTTAAATTTGGAAATCAAGTAACAAACCTTTGCCAATATTATAACTACACTTTATTCGTTAAGAATATTAAATACAATAAAGTTGCAAGGGCCTAAAGTACTGTCCACCAGCACACATTTTTCCGTCATTGTGTAATGCTCTAAGGATCATAATTATCTGTTAATATAATCACCTTATTCCTAGACTGTCAACCGCTAGTACGCGTTTAAGCCATGACAAGGCGTTCTTTTGTACCCGAAAAGCTATGGTTTTTTTTTTTATGGCGCGTTTCATTTAGGAGTGTCGTTATTTCTGCGTAGTTCTTTCTACAATCCGACTCCGTTTTTCTAGTGGGGAGGTTCTTGCTTACGCACAAAGAAAATTTTCTTTTCCAACTTATGTTCTAATGGAATGTTTGGCATAACTAAATTTGTATTCTAAAATATCTCTATTTTCGATGCTTCTTGTGGTTATGAATAAAGGGGGGGGGCATGTTTTATGAATAGGCAATGCATTGTTTGTTTATCGCCCAATAGAATATTGTTGGGTAATTTTTTTAAAATATTTGTTTTGATATGCCAATAATAACAAAAGTACGCCCTACATGCGTATTTTATAACTGGTACATCTGTAAACAGACGGTGATGATGCAAGTTATTCTATCCGAGAAAAAAAATCTGCTCAAATCAAAAACAAAAGTAAAATGAAAATGGCATAACAACAAAGTAAAGTCTAGAAAACAATTGATGCAAATTCAGGCATACAAATCACTACCTCTCATTCGGTCAAGGACACCAAAACTTCAAGAATAATTAAGAAGAGAACAAATTCAAACTCAAAAATATAAAGTCCTGCGTTAACAATATTTAGCTCACTCTATACTAACTATATTCAGTAAATTTGTAGAAAAAAAAACAGCGGACAATTGTCAAATAGCCATGACTAATCTCTTTTGTGTAAATTCACGAAACGTTAGGCAAAGGAACTTTACTATGAATGTAGCGTCATTAGGGTCATGCGGAACTATTCAGTCAAGACAATAAATAGTCATATTTTGAAATAACATGTGCAATTAACAGAATCTTTAAGTTATTAACATCAAAATTTCTACCAAATGCGCCCGTAGTTTTTATTATACAAAAAAGTAACTCCTTTATTTTGTTTTCCTTCACAGCAATCCAAGACTGTGGTCACATGGGGATGTCCTCCGATCTTCGAAACTCCGCCGACGTAGAACCTCTCTTCAAAGAAATCGATATCAAAACTGCTTTCCCCGGAAAGAAGCTCAGTTTCGTTGTCAAAAGCGCGGAGATCCGGCAGAAGTCCACATCCCTGAGCTTGATCAGCGACGCCACATTTAACGACATAATCGTTAACAACCTAAGAGTGAGTCACAGAAAAATAATAATTTCATCCACTGCAGCTGCTTTTGATGAGTTGTTAACCTCATAGTTAGAATGAGCGACCGCGATCCAAAATATACCTTGGAACAGACATCCGATTCCATAGGAGTGCGAAGTATCAGTCAGGTGGCCATTTGAACGGAAAACTGATTTCAAAAGAAAAAGTACATGAATCCTGTAGGATTCATATACCTGCAAAAAAGTAATGGCGAATAATTCGGGCACACGGAACCCACAATGTTTCTGTTTAATTAAGCGATTAGTTGCAGGCATAACTGAAAGAGCAGCGAAAGGTCATTTGTCAATTTTCCTGGTAAATGTGGCGGGAAAATTGAATTTCTGTGCTGGTCACATAACATCAAGCCTTTTGACATCATTTTGACTCCAAAATTATCCGGCGAAACTGAACCGGTGTTGGGGACACGTGACATCAAGTCATGCAACGTCAATTTTCCCGCTGAATTAGGTGGAGAATCTGAATTGGTGTTCAAATCATGGGAAGTCAATTTTCTCGCTAAACTTGGCGTAGAAACTGGATTTCAGTATAGGCAACGTGACATCATCGGGCCTAATTTTCGCTAGATTTTGCGGTGAAATTGAATTTGTGAATAGGTCAGGTGACATGAAGTCATGTGACGTCATTTTTCTCACTCAATTTAGCGAGGTCACCAAATCAGTGTTAAGTTTACATGACGTCAATTTCTCCGCTAAATCTTGCGGGGAACTGATTAAAGTCATGTGACGTTATTTTCCTCACTAAATTTAGCGAGAAATATAAACGGCCATAGACATGCATCAAAGTGCATTCAAATCTTAACAAAGGCAACAGTTTTAAATCTAATTGACTAAAAAAAAACGAAAAAACTGAAAACTGTTTACAACTCCCTATAACGCCAAATTAGAGCGCAGCTCTTGAGGAGGAGGAGGAAAGGGCGCTGAGGAAATTGTATACCCCTCCTTTCTCTTCCTCACCTCCTCATGATGCTGCTTCTCCATCCGAGCGGGGTGGGAGTAACCGTGAGGTCACATGACCCTCGTGACCTCGTGGAGGTCACGTGACTTCACGGCATCAGGTGATCTCATGGGGTCATGTGACGTCACGGGGGTCAGGTCACCTCAGGGGGGTCACGTTATCCCCCTCGAGGGGTGTCACGTGTCCCCTCTCACCCCCCCCCCCCCGAGGGCTGTCACGTGCCCCCCCCCCCCCGAGAGGTGTCATGTGGCCTCCTGACCCCTCCCGAGGGGTGTCACGTGACCCCCCCCCCCGACCCCCTTGCTGGGGGTCACGTGACCCCGCGCGAACGTTTCGGCACGATGCCGAAACGTCACCATGCCGAAAGGTCGCCACGGTCACGCCTACGGCGACGGCGACGGCGACGCCGCTCAAGCCGGAAACGGGAGCCTAAGAGCTGTGCTCTAAGAACTTGAAACTCGTTTTGGTCATCTGTGACTGCCTGTTCAAGAAAGACTACGTTACTTCATGGTCACGTGACGTGGCCACGTTCACATCACGTTAGGTCCGTTATTTGTGTTGGACGTAAGCACGCTAAACATGGTGGCCCGCGTCTGCCAAATTTTGCGGCCGACGCCACTTTTCCGTGGTTTGCTTGTGTACCACCTATGTCTGCCATTTTACACTTAGCCTGGTTTATATTGCACTAAATGCTAAGTTTATTATAGTTTATGAAAATAATATGTAGTGTCTAGTAATGTCTTTCGCTGGAGTAAGTTTGGTCATGGATTTTTAAGTCTCTCACAAGTCAGGTAGTGCATGGCGCGTTCTTTCCGCGCATATATACACCTGGTGAGAAACAAATTGACTATGTCCAGGCTTCTAAGTACACGAATTCAAGTGCAGGCCACGTTACTCGTTACACGTAAAGCGGTAAAGTCCATGGTGGCTCAAAACGGGAGCAAGGACGCCATTGTGAACATAGCGAGCACCTTCGGCAGGGACGGAGTTTCCGCTAACGCGGCTTCGAAGGGCGCAGTTCTGGCCTTCACAGAGTCTCTGGCCTTAGAGCTTTCGATCAAGGGAATTAGGGTTAACGCGATCCTGCCCGGGCTCACTGATTCCCCTAGGGTTTGTCAGTCACCACCAGAAGTTGTACAAAACCAGGTTGTGAACATCAATCCCACACTGTCTACCTCGAAGCCGGAAGAAATATCTGAAAAGAATGTGTTGATTTTGAGCCCCTAGAGCAGTAATATAACAAGGGCGTGCATTGATGTTACGGGAAAAATTAACATCGAAGTCATCGGTAGACCGTTGTGTCGTCAGAGCTTTTCAAATTACTAGAATGATGACTATAGAGGTTGCTCTGAGTATGAATTTTAAATTGTAGCGTACTGAACATAGAACAGAATGTACTACCTTATGTAGCGTCGCTACATATGAGCCAATAAGGAGTTGGCGGTGAAAGGAAGAACACAACATTCTAGCTGAGGGTTATGCCCTGGACAGCCGCGCTAAGGTGCGCGGAACTAGAAATATCACCTAACGATAAACAAAACCACGCGACGATGAAGTATTGTTAAAAAAGCAGAGTTCCAGAATGTCAGAGCGAGGAGAAAGACTTCAAAACACATCGTCAGTGAAACAACACGTTCATAAAAAAACAAAAACATATATGCATATTGTGTGGCATTCAAAGGAAGACTAGGCTCATACAGTGGGCAACTTCTTCAGACTTGTGCCTATCTCAAATACTCTACTCAAGATACTGTATTTCAAGCACCTTCTTGAAGTATCTTGGTATCTTGCAAATACTTTTAATCAAGAGTTTTTGCTACTATACTTTAATTATATTTCTCAGGACCCTGTACTCGTTATCTCAAATACGTTTCCGCATTCCGCCATTTTTCGATTTTTGTTTTTGTTATGAAGTGGCGTGGGCGAGGCACGAGCAAACTATAACATTCCTTCGAGCAACCAAATTCTGTTGCTACCTCCGATAAGCTACGATGACTTAGATGGAGCTCATAAAAACATCGCTTTTATGCGGATTGTGACTCATATTTCACACATAAAATCGTACCAATGAAGGTTTTCCCCCTCGCCTTCCCAAAGGCGCCTATTTTTGTAGTTTCCCCCAAAAAGTCCTGAAACAAAAGTGGTGGTTTTACGGAAGTAAAGATTGCCACACTGAGGCGCAACGCAGAACGGGAAACGACCCACGACAGCAATGCAGACTTCAGTAAGAAGAAAATAACAAATAGAAAAAAAATGAAGAGTCGATACAATAAGAAGACACTTTTTTTTTAGAGCGCAGCTCTTAGGCGCCCGTTTCCGGCTTGAGCGGCTTCGGCGCCGGCGTCGGCGTCGGCGTCGGCGTCGGCGTCAGTGCAACCGCGTGGTGCATTATAGGACGCGTGATGTCACTGATGACGTCATCAGAGACGTCATCGGTGACCTTATCGGCATCGTCATCGTCATCGTTACTGATGACGTCATTAGTAACGTCAATGATGACGTCATCGAAATCCGTATCGTCATCGTCCCTGATGACGTCATCAGTGACGTCACTGACGACGTCATCGACATCCGCATCGGCATCGTCCCTGATAATGTCATCAGTGATGTCACTGATGACGTCATCGGCATCAGCATCGTCATTGTCACTGATAACGTCACTAGTAGTGATGACGTCATCGTTATCGTCACGTGACCTCATAGGGGCCACGTGACCGCCGTGAGGTCACGTTACCCTCGCGGGACGACGGCGACACCGCTCGGAGGGAGGAGTAGCAGATAGGGTGAGGAGGAGGGAGAAAGGATATACGTTCCCCTCAGTACCCTTCCCCTCCTCCTCCTCAAGAGCTCCGCTCTAATCCAGCGTTACAGGGAGTTGTAAACGGCCTTCATGTTTTTTGCATGTATATCTGACACCGCTACGGCAATACGCCGAGGTTCTTTTGGTTGTTTCTTTTGTTTTTGTCGCCAGTCCGGCACTTATTGCTCTCGCAAGCACTATCTGTAAGCGAACATTGAGAAGCAGAGAACAGGACTCGAATGCCAACGAAGCGTCTCCCAACGTTGAGTGCCTTTCTGAACGCAACCTACTTGAAGAACATAGTTACAGTTGCGCACACAGGGATAAGGACAGAGAAGATGAAGAAGTATATGACCTTGTCCCTGAGTCCTTGTCCTTGTCCCTGTGTGCGCAACGGTAACTATGTTCAATAACTACCAACTCGCCCAACTGTCTACTACATGAAGAAGGTGCCAAGAGTGCAGTGGCTATTACCCAAGCAGCACATTATGACCGGCTCCGGCTTGAGTCCGGGGAAGTTTCATTGGGCCTAGATCGTCTTGCCCCATGGCGCTAGGCAGCCCCATACTGGTATGCCAGTCTGGCGACCGCCGGCAGTTCCCTGTATGGCCATGGACTCCCTCACCCCTGGAATTATGGCCTGGGCCAGGCGGCAAGCTCAGAGGTGCCCCAAGCTTGGCTCTTCATTGTATATACAGCATGGGCCAGGTTAGTGGCCGAGTGGTCAGCCAATCTTGGCTAGACGATAGAAATTCAACCCCGCAATCCTGGATTGCTGTGAAGGAAAACACAATAAAATAATTACTTTTATATATAATAAAATCTGCGGGCACATTTGGTAGTAATTTTTATGTTCATGACTTCAAAATTCTGTTAATTGCACATGTTCTTTCAAAAGATGACTATGTAGTCTTGACTGAATAGTGCCCCATGACCTTAATGACGCTACATTTATAGTAAAGTTCCTTTGCATAGCGTTTCGTGACTTTATACAAAACAGATAAATTTTCCTATTTGACAATTGTCTGCTGCTTTTTTTTCTCTACAACTTTACTGAATAGTTAATATAAAGTGAACTAAACAATGTCAATGCAGGACTTTATAATTTTGAGTTAGCATTTGTTCTTTTTTCAATTATTCTTAAAGTTTTGCTGTCCTTGACCTAATTTGCCTCAATTGTTTTCTAGACTTTACCTCGTTTTTACGCCATTTTCATTTTACTTTTGTTTTTGATTAGAAGTGGTTTTCTTTTTCTCAGGCAGAATAACTTGCAACATCTCCGTCTGTCTACACATGTACCAGTTATAAAATACGCATAGAGGGCGTACTTTTGTTAATATTAGCATATGAGAACAAACATTTAAAAAAATTACCTACAGAAATAATATAAATTCATATATGCAACAATATTCTATTGGGCGATAAACAAGCATGCCTATCAATGAAACACCCCCCCCCCCCCTTTATGAATAACAAGAAGCATAGAAAATACAGATATTTTACAAATAAAATTATACATATTTAGTTATGCCAAACACTCCTTAAAACATAAGTTACAAAAGAAAATTTTTTGTGCATAAGCCAGAACCCCCCCCCCCCCCCCCCCCGCAAAACGCAGTCGGAACGTGGAAAAAACTACGCAGAAATGGCATGCATTAATGAAACGCGCCACAAAAAAGAAACAACGTAGCTTGTCGGGTACAAAAGAACACCTTGTGATAGCTTAAACGGGTACTAGCGGTCGACCGTCTAGGGATATGGTTATTATATTAATGGCTAATAATGATCCTTAGCGCATTACGTACTGACGGGAAAAAGGTGTGCGGGTGGACAGTACTTTAGGCCCTTGCAACTTTATTTTGGTCAATACTCTTAACGAATAAAGTATAGTAATAATAGTGGAAGAGGTTCGTTACTTGATTTCCAAATTTAAAGGGCACTAAAAATTACCAATCTCCAAATTAGGAAGATCTTAGTCAGGGTTCGTTAACTTAGGTATGCAGGGTGTATGATTTTTAACTCGAACAGATTTCTTTCAGAAAAGCCGTGAATAGTAGATTAATGCGACTTGTACCGCTGATTGTTATACGGATAGAGGGACATATTATAAGTGTCAAATTGTCACAGTAAGTCAAATATTTAAGTAAACTTTTGAATTAACCCTTTGATTTGCGATACTAAACACGCGATACCAAATATAATCTTGGTGAGCGTCATATAAAACACTAAATCAGACACTTTTCAATGGATTTGAATAACGAGAAAAGCGCTGAAGCATGCTGAAGGTTCCACTTGGGCGCCAGAACCAAACGCTGGCTGCTGAAAACGCGGACGAAAAGATTATCATCCGCGTTTACAAAACGCCGGCGTTGCGTCTTTTGTACGAGTGGAATCTTTAGTGCACCCCAGGGCTTACCACGTGGTTCGTGGTTAATTTGTTTTTATTTGTATGATGACGCTTAGGAAACACAAACGATTAGAACATTATGTTTATTTTAATAATTTAGAACTTATTTAACAAATTTTAGTTAATTAATCCACTTATTGTGAAGTTTAACAATCTCTATTATATCCCCCGGGCCATATACCTCGCGTATATAGACCACATTAGAGTACCTTTCATGACAATTTTGACAGAAATAAGATTGAATGAAAATGAAGCCCCTTGTGTATGTGACGGCCGACATGTCTTCGGGTTGCTAAAAAACACTTTTATATTTTGGGAACAACAAAAATGCAAATAACACTTCTCGTGCTAACGTTTCGGACAAACCAGCTCAAAGCCTCGAGTAAACGCTACTCCATAAACCACACAAGCTGACCAAATCTCCCTCTAAGGAGCTTCTAGCCAGCATGAATGCACCAGGGCTGGGCAGTATCGCGATACAAATGTATCGCGATAGTACCTTAGAGAAACTTTCGAGTATGTGTATCTCTGTATCGAAATACAATCGATGCATGTATTTGTATCTCAGTAGTGAACTACATTTAAGATGTATCGCGATACGTCTTGAGACTTAGGTATCTCGTTACATTTGTTGTCCTTTCTCAGATAAATTTAAAAGATAAAAAACATCTCCTAGGTGCAAGATGCTTTATTGTTTATAATATCAACCCCCCTGTAACATGATTCATTTCAGTCGCCGACATTTAAAAAATGTGGTTCAATTAATCTTAAGGGCAAGAATAACAAAATCAGCTCCTTTTACAAAGCCCTGCACTCTTACCAATTTAGCAGAGATCGGTGTAAATGAGTTCATTGAAGAAAAATTGCAGCCCTATTGTCCAATCGTCCTACATTACGGGTGACTCAGAAGCTTACAGTACGACATATTAAGATACGCCCTCACGGCGAAACAGGGTTCGTTACAGGCAGACGTCTTTTGTCAAGCATGGTGCGCAGACTGTAACTATGTTCTTCAACGGG